ACTCTTTCCTGACTTGCCTTTAAGCTCCAATTTGCATGTGACACACACCATTACAGAGGTGTCAAAGTGACCATAAAAAACAACTCAGAATTCAGAAATGCCTTCCTCTGGTGTAAGAACAAAGAGGGCCTGGAAGTGGCTTGGAGAGCTGTGATCCTGTTGCCAGGTGGCAGTGTGATGAAACCTTTCTCTGTTAAATTGTGTCAAGCAAGGCACAACTTTATTTTTGGACTTGGGAAAGTTAAACAAATTGGCTCCTGTATGACTCAGGTGCTGGGACTTCCCTGGTGGTCCAGTGGTTAAGACTCCTCGCTCCCAATGCAGGGGGCCCACATTCGATCCCTGGTCAGGGAACTAGATCCTGCATGCCACAATTAAGACCCGGCTCAGCCAAATAAATAAATAAATATTTTTTTAAAATAAAAAATAAAAGACTCAGGTCCTTTGGAGCTAGGAATAGCCCCTCACTAAAAGTTCATGCCTAATTATATTATTTTCTTTTTTAAGCGCCACCCTTGAACAAGCTGAAGCTGGTGCACTCAGATCTTGAGGATGACCCAGAAGATATCAGAATGGAGTTCATAAAGTATTTAAGAAGCATAATCAACTCAGTGTCTGAGAGCAGAGACCGGGAGGAGATGTCAATTATCACCTAACCGGCCTTCACCTAGACGCTTCCGCATCCCAAATGACGTCAATTTCAGTGCAGATCTGAAATCCATCCACCTACTAAGGTTCTCATCTCGCTTTGGCTGTAGAAGACATTTTCCTTATTTAGCCAAAGGTAACAGTCAGCCAGGGAGTTGACTCATACCATCTATTCTCTGTCCTCAGTTCAGCTGAGAAACTCCTGTTATTGAATTCCGATACCTTTGCCCCAGATCTCTCCAGAGAGCTGGAAAACTGAGGTGTTTTTTTTTCCCCTTCACATTATGTCATACTATAAAAGTTGTGGAATTGTAACTGTTATAGCCCAGTGATATCAACAGTAGTTTAATCTGCGTACATTGGTTTAAATGTGATTTTCATTCCTTGATCTGTACAATTTGCCTAGGATATTTTTGAAAAATATTAGCATTTAACATCTCCAAGATTTTATTTTTATTTAGATGTCCTTGATATCTGGACACCACATCACACTGGAAGGTGGAATACATATACATCTTCTAAAAACGGTTTTTATTATCTCAGGGGAATTTAATTCTTTTTAATTTAATTCTTAAATATTATTTCATGTAATACAGGGAAAAACAATGTTATGTTGTCATAACAACCATTTGTAAAAATAGTCAATATTTAATGCTCAGGATAAGCAAATATGGTGAGTTTATAGCTTATTGTACAAGTGAGTTTGTTTTAGTGATCTTATGAATTATTGTTCTTTCATAATTTGTACTTCTTGAATTTTTTAACACAACCAACCTGAAAATATATTAAGTAGATCAAAAGTTAGATGTAGGGACTTCCCTGGTGCCGCAGTGGTTAAGAATCCACCTGCCAACTCAGGGGACGTGGGTTCCATCCCTGGTCTGAAAGATCCCATATGCCACAGAGCAGCTAAGCCCATGAACCACAACTACTGAGCCTGTGCTCTAGAGCCCGTGAGCCACAACTGCTGAGCCTGCGTGCCCCAACTACTGAAGCCAGTGCGCCTAGAGCCCGTGCTTCACAACAAGAGAAGCCACCACAATGAGACTCCCGCGTACCGCAATGAAGAGTAGCCCCTGCTCGCTGCAACTAGAGAAAGCCCGCACGCAGCAACGAAGTCCCAACGCAGCCAAAAAAAAAAAAAAACGTTAGATGTAGCTCTTTTCAACTGAGAGTGGAAAAAAAGTAGAGACACAAGAGATGAAATATATGCTTGTCTGCGTTTCACTCTTACAATGAAGAGGGCTGTGTGTGGGCAGTCTGCTTGAGAGAGTGGTGTTGGCAGATAACGACAGTTCCCTGGTAAATTTATTTATTTATTTATTTATTTTTAAATTTTATTTTTATTTATTTATTTTTGGCTGCGTTGGGTCTTCGTTGCTGTGCGCGGGCTTTCTCTAGTTGTGGCGAGCAGAGGCTACTCTTCATTGTGGTGCATGGGCTTCTCACTGTGGTGGCTTCTCTTGTTGTGGAGCACGGGTTCTAGGTACACTGGCTTCAGTAGTTGCGGCACACAGGCTCAGTAGTTGCGGCACACAGGCTCAGTAGTTGTGGCTTACGGGCTCTAGAGTGCAGGCTCAGTAGTTGTGGCTTATGGGCTCTAGAGTGCAGGCTCAGTAGTTGTAGCACACAGGCTTAGTTGCTCCGCAGCATGTGGGATATTCCCAGACCAGGGATCGAACCCGTGTACCCTGCATTTGCAGGCGGATTCTTAACCACTGTGCTACCAGGGAAGCCCCCCTGGTAAATTTAGACTGAACTACAGTCAACTCTTAGTAAACTGCCTGGATTATCCGTGAGCACATTTTAGGCCCAGGTTAATTTCCTTCTGCCTGACCTGCTCTCAGTTGGAACTTTTGCAAGGAACACAAGATTACGTTAATGCAAACTGTAGTAAATCTTCTTTACGTAATAGCTGCAATAATAATAATTGATCTTGAGACTACAGCTCCAAAACAGAGATTATTTTTATCTGATTTTAAATGATTATCCAAGGGTTCAATAGAAAAATTAACCCAGCAGCTTTCATTTATGTTCATAGCCGGAGTACAACCCTTGTGAGCCCTTGAATTGAGAAAAATGTTTTAAAATTTAAGAGGCCAGGACTTCCCTGGTGGCGCAGGGTTTGAGCTGCCACTGAAGGATGTTCACTGCAGGTTGATGTGGTCGGATCTCCATGGTAGAAAAGCCCCTCTGACCGCAGTGTGAGGGCTGGGTCGGAAGGAGGACAAGTGTAGAGGTGGCTGCTGTCATCTCTTGGTTTGTGGCTCCATCACTCCAGTCTTCAAGGCCAGCATCTTCAAATATCTCTCTGCTCCATCTTCACATTACCTTCGCCTCTGTGTATCTGACTCAAATCTCTCTCTACCTCATTCTTGTAAGGATACTTATAATTGCATTGAGGGCCCAGGATAATCTCCCCATCTAAAGATCCTTAATTTAGTCACATCTGCAAAGACGCTTTTTCCAAGCAAAGTATCATTTACAGGATGTGCACGTCACAGGGAGTGGGGTCTGATGTCTTTGCGGGCCATTATTCAGCCTACCACAGATGCTGTTCACTGAGGCATTAATGGAAGAGGATGAGCAGGTTTTGGGGGAGTGACAAAGGACTAGTTAAAGTCGACTCAGCAAGTTAGGGACAGGGACAGAACTGGATCCCATGCCCCCTCTCTTTCCCCTGTCTTGTGTAA